GCAGGCCAGCGAGGCTGTTCCGGGCTTACCTGCCAGTCTTGGCCAATGCCTCAGGGTCTCTAGTGCAAAATTCAAGTCCTGTTCTGTGACCCGTTCAATCAGTGAATCCCAGGCTCCCCGGGAAATGTGGTAGTAAGTGCGGTGGCCCTGGGCAAGGGCTGCCTCCAGGACACCATAACAAGTGTAAAGCCAGGTGCTCAGGTTGTAAGGTGGGGACTATAGAGCTTGGGATGTCAGGGATGAGACTGGGGGACAGGTCAGTGTGGGAGACTGAGGCCAACAACTGAAAGATGCCCTGACATGGGGGAGAAGACTGTCGTGGTGCCTTTTGCCCGGGGGATTGGGTTCAAAGCTCTGACTGCCCCATGATAGGACACAAATTGCAAGATCCTCATGGAGCAAAAGCTAGAACTGGAGGTAGGCTAGGAGTGCTGCCTTATGGAGGGCCCGCAGACTTGGGGCGGTGCACATAAACAAGGGGATCCAAGGACACTTAGATAGCCTCTGAGCCTTGGGCAACCTGAGGTCCTAATTTTGCCCCAAGGATAATTCTGGCAAGGTGATAGCATCTATCCCAGTGGCCTTGTCAGTACCCAACAGGGCAACAGCAAAGAGAGAAATCAAGCTCCAGGTCGAGATGTAGTGAGGTGAACTGGGGTGGCTGAGAGGCCCCTAGACCAGCAGATATCCCAAAGGCAGGGAAAGGGTTGCCAAGGTCTGAGAAGATGGGATGGTGAACCCTGCTCCTCCCAGGCCTGAAGCACTTCCACCATGCAGCAAGCCGGTCCCTGCCCGCTTTACATCTACCCTCTCCTGTCAGTTTCCCCTGTTCCCCACTCCCCTTAGCCTAGAGTCTCCAAGCCCACGTGCAGGATGGTTCTTTTTAGGTAAGAAAGTGATAGCTGCGATGTCTAACATTGGGATTGACACTTGCTCCCCCTGGAGGCAAATCTGAAGATTAGCAGGGCCCTCACAGCTTTGGGCTTCTGAGGGAAGGGGTTGAGTGGGGAGCCTCTTCCCTGAAGGCTTAGGTGAATTTTCATATGAGGGGACCTCGATTTGACTAATAGAGCCAGATGAAATGTTGGGGGACTGATACAGCATAGCCAACATCTGAAGTGAGGCCAGTTGTGTTCAGAGGCAAGATGGGTGCAAGTGGTGCCCACGGCTAAATGGTGATTTATTCATATGGAGGCAGAGGTGAGGGGATCCTCAGGTTGAGGAGCCCAAATAAAGCCCCACTTCCTGGCCTCATCCCTGACTCCCAAGCTTGTTCTGGCTACTGCAATACACCCTCTCCCCTGCCCAGGTTTGTCTATAAGGTCTGACTACCATGTTCCAGTACCCTCTGCATCGTCTGGGGCTTTCTGACTCTGCAGAGGCCAGCTCCAGCTCCCCTGCGCCTCTTCAGTCCAGCCTGGGCCCTTCCCAAGTTAATGGCTTGCTGCCAGCACTGTCTTGTTCTCAGGCTCTAGGGTGATCAGTCCTAATTCCAGTCCTCATGGAGGGAGAAAAATGTCAGGAGGGCTTTGCTAGAAGGTGAAAAGAGCTGAGAACAGATGGACCCGTAGTTTACCAGAGAGGAGAAAGGCATCCAGGCAGAAGGAATGTGTGGGCAAAGGCAAGGAGGTTCTGGGCAGCAAGCAGTATGACCTGGACATATGTCATGAGTCAGGGAGGAGCTGGGTGAGGGGTTTTCATCATATGCGTCTTTAGGAAAAAAAATATACCAGCTATTAGGACTGGTATTGGACTGGAAAGGGGCACGGGGCCAGGAGGCCAGAAAACACCTGGGACGAGGACTAGACCAGAGTCAGGACAAGGGCTAGAAAGTGGGCCCTGCCTCTGCAGCCTTTACTTAGACCTGAGGATTTGCTATCATTAAAAGACTGGCAACAACTTCCCCATGCCCAGTGACAAATGAGCTAGTATAAGCTGCCTTAGCCACAGAGTGGACTGTTCAGCAATAAAAAGCTGTCTTTAGAGGGTTTGTAAAGATGTTATATTTTCTTATACAGTGCTGGTCAAAGATATAAACTGAGGCAATCTTTACAGAGGGCAATTAGGCGACAGCTCTCAAAATTGCAAATGCCCAGAGACTTTGACTCGGTAATCCCACTCAGAGGATCTCATTTTAAAGCATCTGACCACCTAAGATTGGAAAGGACCCACATGTCCATCAATAGAGTGCCAGTACATCTATCTCGTGGAATACTATACAGTGATGAAAAAGAACAAAGACTCAATATGTCGATTCATAACAATCTCTAAAATAGATTGAGAGAATAAAACAAGGTGCAGAACAGTTAAGTAAGCCATGCTACCTGTGTGCAGAGAAAACACTGAAAAAGAATATTTACAAATGTACTTGTATGTCACAGAATAACTCTGGAAAGATATATGTATAATAAAATGGAAACAGGGAGATTGTGGGGAGAATGGACAGAATGGAGAGAGACCTTTCATTAGATACGCATCTTTTGAATGCTGCATCCTATGGATGCTTTTCCTCCAAAGCTGAATTTTTCAAACTCCTCAAAGCTGTCTTGGTGAGCTCAGGTGGACTTTTCAGGTGAGCTCCTAGCAGGCTGTCACTGGGCCTTGGGCCGCTTCCTGATAATCAGCTTGGAGCAGCTCTGCCCAGGTCCCTCCTTCTCTTGACACGGTCCTCTATAGTTTGGGGGCAGACCACCCACTCCCTGTGCTCCAGACTTGGCTGCTAGGCAGCTCTGGGCGCCCACTAAGAGGGCTTCCCCTTTCCCAACCACCTCCCTAGACCATAGTCTGAACAGTCGGTTCTCCAGAGCTGTCTTGGGCAGTGGGGTATGGGCTGTCATCCCTGGGCTACTGCCTAGCCACCTGCTGAAGACCTCCCTCCTTTGCAGGTACTCACCCCCGCTTTAGCGATGGCAGAGCTGGAATGGATGCTCTTGCCCCTCCCTACGGGAGCGCCCGGGTGCGGTGGGCAAGGGTGGGCAGAGCCTTCTGGAGAAGGCAGCACTGACAGCATACCAGACTCCTAACTCCCTGCCTCCAGTGCCCACCACTGGGGAGCCCAGGGGGCACATAAGTACAGCCACCAGACCTCGGTGTTTATGATCCCTGCAAGCTGCTGTCAGGTCTGGGGTCCCCTGGCCCCTCTGTGGCAGCGAGAACCCTGCACTTAGGAGAATGTGGGGAAGGTTCAACCCTTTCTGGGACCTGAGCATAGGGAGGGAGGCTCCGGGGGCCCAGAGCTCTAGGTCCTTCAAGTTCACCCCACAGGGTCCACCCTTCCTGTACTCTCTCTTCGTGCCCCAGCCCCACACCAGGGGTTCCCTGGTGTCCTACAGCTGCCGCTCAGAATAGGAAGTGGCAGGGTCCAGTGTAAGGGGCCTGAAGGATGCACTGCAATGGAGTTTCAGGCCAAGGACGCCTTCGAGTACCAGGGCCATGGAGGCTGTGCCTGAGTGGTGCCCTGCCCAGTGTCCAGCTGTCCAAAGCCCAAGATATACCCCATAAAAGTGAGCAGGGAGAAAGCCGTGAGGGAGTCTGGCTGGGGTGGCCGCTGGCTCAGGTTCAAGCCCTAGCGCACCCCAGCTTTGTTCACAACCCTGGCTTCGCACTCACAACATGCGACAGATCACAGCCCCTTGGTCTAGGACTTCGGAGAGCCAGAGGTGCAGGAGTGAATAGGGTTCACCAGCAAGCACAGTGCTTCTCAAAACTCCTAGAGAATTAAAAAAAAAAAAAAAGCCGGTGTGCAGATCCATGAATCGGAACCTGGGGGTGGGATCCCAGGAGTCTCGTGTGCAACGCAGGTGTTGATGAGACCTGAGGGGTGGAGGAAGGGGCAAGTTATCTGTCTCCTTAGAGAGGGACATGGGCTAAGATAAAGCTCCAGACCAGAGATGCAACCCTGGCCTGGATTACCTTAATTTCTCCTCCCCTAGGCAGCCAAGAAGTCTTCCTGAACCTGTCTTGGGTTCCACAGCATCCCCTCTCCCCACCATTGGAGCCACCATCACCTCAGTCTATACCTGTTTTCCAGGGCAGGGCAAGGAATTCGACTGTGCTCCAGCTCTGGCTGCATACCACCCAGGGAACCAGAATGTGCATGGAAGACTGCAAGAACAGGGTCCGGCTTCTAGAAGGGTTAGGGGTCACCAACTTGGCCAGAAAGGCGCATTCCAGAAGCCCAGCAGGGTCATGGTTTTTGCTGCAGTGTGAGCTTTCAAGATCTAGGCACAGCAGAGGGGAGTCCCCAACACAGAACTAAGGATTGCTGACCAAAATATCTCTTTTCATACTGAAAGTATTCTTCAAAGGTGTTCCGGTGCATTGTTTCTTCCAGAATGCTATGAATTTTGGTATTTCGAGACAAATTTTCTCTCAAATTCTGCAGAATCCTCAAAGTAGGAGGGAGTGTCATAATTCTATATAAATAAGTATTGGTATCACTTCCTGAAACTCATTTCCGAAGGTTTTACAAGATTTGGACTTCTCAATGCACACATAAGTAGATGTGAGAACAGGGATCTAGTTGAGGGGGTGTTAAGGGAAATCAATGGGCCCCCAACACCTCAAATAGTCCATCAAACGGTCCCCAAAATTTATCAGAAGGACCACATACAGACAGGAACAGAAAATGGTTTACGAAAGCTAGACAGATACCATGCCCTTATCTGGGATGAGCCTGCTTGTTTTCCACTTCTGCTTGAAACCATTTGACTCTGGCTAGCTCGAGTTGAACAAACATTTAAGAGCCTTCAGATGTGGGTGCCTGTGAGGGAAAACATTCAAGTTTACCTTGGTGGTGTAAAGTGTGGCAACTATTACCTCATCCTCAGAAGGCCAAGACTGAGCACAAGCTGCTTCTCTTCTGTAGGAAGGCCTGCAGGTGGGGAACGGTTGATGCAAGATCCCACTCTATTTCATGGTCAGTAGGGCTGGGTTGCAGGACTCAACTTCAGTGAAGCACCAGGTGTTTCACCAAGTGCTGCTCACCAGGAACTGCTTGGAAGGCTGGTGGGGGCTGAGCACCTCCAGGCAGCACTGAGATACCGAAACACCAAAGCCGCTGCCACCACCAGCTGATGCAAGTTTTATTGAAACAATGTACAAACAGGCCATGGAAACAAGGGTTCTGATGCCAGGACCAGTAACGTAAAATGGGATACAAAAATAAAAAGGCACTAATCTGTTAAGAAAAGACACTCGATGTATTCTAAGAATATAAGTCATTTAATACTGTTAATTTTATAGCACAAAATAAAACAAGCTATGATCCCAAAAAATAATTTTAAAAGCTTACACAGAAAATATTATTGCCTAAAGTTTACGATCTTAAGTTACAGGTCAAAAGAGTTTTGTGTTGTTTTTGTTGTTTTAAAACACACAGTGAAGACCGTCTAGAAGCAAGGCCACTGTTCCTCCTGCAGAGACAACGACCCTGTCTCAGAGAACTGTCCTTCTACTCCTTTAGAATATACAACTAGCTCAGTGTCCACACTGACAGCAGTTACCAGGGACATTGGTCTCTGGTCTCAGAGGGTGGAGTTTGAGGCAGAGCTCAGTGGTGTCCACAGAAAGCATTAGTCTTAGGTGCTGTGTTAAAACAAGAAATCCACTCATTTTAAGAGGTTAATGAACTTATTATTAAAGGATTAAATTAAAAACACCTGGCACAAAAACACATCATCCCTTTTCAAAAATAAAATGTTCATGTTTCCTCTGAGCAAACATTACAAGAGCAGTGGCTGTCTGTCCCGGCCCGCCTTGTCTGTAAACAGCTGTAAAAGATCGTTAGCACAGTGCCAGGGATGCTTGAGCTCCAAGGCGGGAGCAGCTGTCCTTCCCTCCTTTCAGTCTTCTAACAATGAGCGCAGAAGGTATCTTCTGGGTGACCAACGTTGTCAAATGGCAGCCAGTCAATGCTTCCTCCTCTTTGTTAACCATGTTATCAGGTGGTACCATGCCATGCAGAAATAACAAGAATGATTCCTGTGTTGGAGGTCCTTCCCAGGATAAATTTTGAATCAAACTGTCAATGCCCTTTAGTACATAATTTGTTCACTTCCTGGGTTAACATCCAAGTACTTTCTTAAATGACAAACAGTAGAGCAGAGCCAGCAGCAATAACGAACAGTCCTATAAGGGAAGTGCACCCAGGAGGGAAGGCAGCTCCTCTGAAGATTTGTATCGCTTTCTGAAGCAGAGTCTTCCCAGACTGCTGGGGGAACCCAGGCATGAAGCCAAGGCAAGGGTGGCATTTTTTGTGTATTTAGTGTGAAAAGGAGAATTTCCCTGCCTGTTAAAAAAAACTAATAAGGTTCCAAGTCGGAAAGGTACTACTTTTGGCACATATCTTGAGAGTTTAGAACTCAAGGCTCACCTTACTTTAGACTCTTGAGTCTCCTGGGTAGTGCTGAAGACATGCATATGGGCTGAAGTGATGAGCAGACTCACTCTGAAGCCAAACCTAGGTTGTGGGTGTTGATTCCGAAGTGCTCCACATGATGTGAGTCCTGCTATATTAGTCAGTAGATATGACTGAAAAGAAACCTTGCTTTCCAAAGTGGTCATTTCCTTCTTATATTTGAAACCAACTATTGTCATAAAAGGTGCCAAGCCCCTCAGCTAAATTTGGTTTAAAAAAGCCTGAAGGTTTATGCTCTCCATGAACAAGGCACACATTCCACCTTCTGCTAGATACGCCCCCTTAAGTACTGGGTCATTGGCCAAAAGGCAAGTGCTATTTCCAGGCAGAGTGTGAGGATCCTGCTATATACGTGTTATTTGTTGTGGGTGTTAAGGTGGGCCTGAACTCTAAACAAAAGGCAACTGTAATGGGCTGGCACCTTCAGAACCAGAGGTGGCCAAAGTTCTGATGGGAAGAGCCAACTGCTGTCTTTTTCAAGAAAATGACAGATGGGCAGCCACAGTGATATTTTTTTCTAACTGACCATTGTGTCACACATGAGCACTCTCAAGATTCTTTCACATGGCAGTTACCTGCCTGACAGAATAATTTAAAAAGAAATTAAAAAATTGTTATTTTGCTGGTTCTGTCACCAGAATATATTGCTCTTAACCCTCAAAACTTACGACCCTTTAGGAAACAGGGCCATGATTATAGCAGATGCTCAGTAAATGACACAGAGCTGCTCATCAGGTTGTTGCTACATCTCTAGGTCTGCTGTATTCACTCTGAGCTGAGGCCTGTCTTCATCAATGTCCAGAAGGGAGAGTGGACTGAAATGCATGAAGGTTCCAGAATTCTAGTCTGCTATAGCCAGCAAATGAACGCTCAGTCACACATTTGTACCAGCTGGCTTGTATGAACAGGTATCTCTTTCCGCTAACAGGGAAACTTTAACATCAAACTGGTAAATGGTTAATGGTAAATTGGTTAATGGTTCTCCCTAGTCACAAAAACATTAGACATCAACTGCATTAACCAATTTCCAGAGCCTGCATTTTCTGTGCTTGGGAGTATCATGGTCACATAGACGGTGGGACCAGTATTAACAGCACCATCTTTCTCTGGCAGCCTGGGTTGGGGCAGAGGACTTGGCTTCAGGGAGTGAAATTTAAAGGTTCATTAATGAATTCAATGATTCTATGAAACCACCTTACTTTTTAAAGAAACTTAAGTACTATACTTTAAAGGAGTACATTCTCTGAAACACTGGACAGAAAACTGGCCACGTGCCCCCCACAATGCTCCTGTCACTGGCAAACAAAGTAAGCAAAGGTTTCCCCCAAAGCACCTTCCACACTGTTACTGTAGGGAACAGTGTAATCCAAGAGGCTGCCCAAATAGCTTGGCACACGACAGATTTTTTGTGTGTTGTTTGCTATATGGCAAAACAAGATACTGCTGGCAACCAAGAAAATAAAGGCCTCCACTTCAGGGTTGTTTTTTTCATATTCCTTTAGTTACAGCAGCTTCAGTTTAGAAGCTCAGAGGCGTGTGCCATTTCTTGGGATAATACAAAAATCCAACCTGCTACTTAAAAACCTGTTCAGAACACACAAGTCTAATTAAGTCTTCCAAAAACCAACCAAAAAAAGGAAAAAAAAAAAAAAAAAAAAAGCCAGATTTGGGGAGTTTAGGACAGAATTCCCTCTCAAGGCTCACTCGCTCCGTTCCTCAAAGGAAAAACAAAATGGTGATTGAGCCACTGCTTTATGGCACGGCAGTACGCAATGGCACACCATGGCCTCAAGCTTTCTCTGATGAATATGACAGAATCAGTCACAAGTACAATAAACAGGGCAGTGATGAGAAGGGAGATCCTTTCCTTATCAACTTCTCTCCACTTGTGTGCTTCCATCAGTATTTCCAGTTTATGATCCAAAAGAACTCTAAAATTGGCTACTCTTAGACAATACGACTATGATACAAATGCCGAAGCAGCCACTGTGTGCATTCCAAACGTTTATGAGACTGTCAGTCTGCAGAAAGCTGGACATCGGCAACGCAGTGTAACCTGTCTGAGACAGAATGCTTTCCGACTCAAAGGAGAATATGACAGGCAGAACAAAGCAGCAGGAAAAAGGGCAACAGCAATCACTCATTTTCATCTGGGTTCTGAGGGTCAATGATTTTGACGTGCGTAAAGGGGAAAAGCCCTTTGCGCCCATTCACTTCGCCTTCCCACTGGCCATTTATATTCATCCTTGTGACTTTCACGATGTCACCAACCTGTAAGGATGGAGAAAGATGACAAAGTTAGCATTTTTTCTGCAAACTAAAGAAAAAAGAAAGTTAACATTAAATCACACACACTGTACTAGCCATAGGAACCTATATATTTTTAAGGACTCATATTTTCCCAGTGTTTAGACCTAAAATCGAGCAGTGCCAAAGACATTAAGGTGCCATCGATAAGCCCAGTGTGCTTCTCTCTAGCTGGTGAAAACGTGTTAGGTGAAGCAGCTTCGGAGCACAAAAGCAGCTTTTCTCCCCATATTGGCTATTAACTCCAACAGGATAGAAATGAACACTTGATTCTGAGTCAAGTCACACAAAAAAGTATATTTAAAAAACCTCTAACAATTAGCCCATGGCCCAAACATGTGATCAGACATTTTTAAGAAAACACTAAGAAATAACACACTTTACAAGGGAGTCAGAAACACACCGAGTAGGTGACTGACTACCTCTACACATGCCATTGGGAAGCAGACAACATAACACTTTGCTAATGGCTACTAAGTTTGTAAACTTGGTAATTTTGTCCTGATGTGACCACCTATCCATGTGAAAAGAGCTCATGCTGCAAAGAGCTGAGGGAAAGGCCAAAACAAGATGGAGAAGGAAAAGAGCCTGTGTGAAATGTGCTTCATGGGGCTGGGTTTCTAATTCAATGGACAATGTGAAGTCAAGGACTTGTCCATGGTCCCATTTTCACAGAGATGTCTATCTGCAGGGCTCCTTCAGACATGTTATCCCCCTTGATCCCCAACATACACCAACCTCCTGTAAGGTAGGCTGAAATAATGAAGCCAGAGGCTGGAGCCCTCCCCAAGGTCACAGGCTGGTTCACCATGAAGGAGGGGTACAAAGCCAGGCAGCTCCTAGTCCTGGCTGCCTGTGTCCCTGCCCCCGGCACAGTGCAAAGGCAGCAGACCCCACCAGCACCTAGGACCACTGAGCCTCCCCTCCGGGGCTCTTCTCACCAAGACACTCTCTGTCCTTAATGTCCTATCTTTGTAACTTCCCCCGGTGAACAGAGACTGGTTGCTATGAATTTAATGTATTAAAATAAACATACAAAAAGGCAAGGACAAGTAAGATAGCGTGTGGGTGTATAACTGTAGAGAGGATTCAGTGAAGGGGGAGAGTGGGCAAACCACCACCCAGGTGGACTCTGCTGTACTAAGAGACGATGGCCCAAGGGCACCTGGGCAGTCTGCAGGCATGCAGGAAGGCATTCAGAGCCAGATCCTAGATCTGACTCTGACAAGATGTTGAAGAAAAAAGGCTAAGGCAAGAATGAACTGAGACTTAAAAAACAAAGCAACAGTTTTGGGCTGATGGGTGATGTTGGCAGATGACAGAATCAATGGCTTCTCCCCATGACTGAAGTTTTTGTTTGCTCCACTCATTTGATGTCCTACAAAAAATATTTTGGTGTTTTGTCCTTTTATCAATAAATTCTCTATCTTCAACTGGACTCCAGATGCACAGAGAGCACACCTTTTGCTCAAAGTCTGTACTCTTAGTCTGCCTTAGCTGATGCTTGATAAATATAAAAGAGAACAAAGTCTCATATTCTCGAAAACTTGGCCCTGGGCACCTCTTCCACATTTCTTTGATGTGCTCATTCCTCCAGCCTGGCGACTAGGAATATATTGTCTTAATAATGCCCTCACCTCTGGTTCTCCCTGGCCTCTTACCACCTGACTCTACCAGCCCAGCCACCCTGCCCTGAGCCACCTTCCATGATCTATGTCACCCCAGCCCAATTGGCCAACTCCTCTCCTACAGCCAGATCCTACCCTCTGGCTATTGCTTCCGCCATTTCACCAAGGAATTCTTGATGGCCCAAGTCAACAACCTAAGTCCAGTTCTCTACCTCTGATGTCCTATGGCACCTGAAGTGTGAGACCTCACCTACCTTCCTCATTCCTCACTGCCTCACTCTTTTTGTGGTAATCTGTAAAATAACACTGCCAGGTGGGCACCTCCCATTTTGCACTGGTGGAAAGCAAGGCTCTGTGAGGTCAGGAGGTCAGGTGCCTTATCTTCCAGGATTCTGGCAGACTCCCCTGAGGAAGCTCCATTTTGCGCCTCCATGGTCACTTCCTCACCCCCAACACACACGCCACCACAATACAGCACTCTCTGAAGGAAGGAACTTGCTTTGCTTATTTTGCACTCCATGTCACAGGTCTCTTGTAAGCTACTTTCTAAAGAAATCTGCAGAATTAAGGAGAAGGGAGAAAACTATGAGCTGATGTTCCCCACATGCTGGGGATAGATGGCCAAGCAGAGGAGCAAGGTTTGGGAGAAATGACAGGCACAGGGCGTAAAGACAGTAGCAGACAGACCTTACAAAGAAACAGAACTGGATCACCACTCTGCCTTTTAAACTCAGCACCTCTTCTATGCACAAGAGCAACATCCAATCTCCCATCTTCAAGGCTCTTCCTGATCTGGCTCCTGACTGTTCTCATCTCTGACCCATTTCATGCCTCTGTGCCCCTCCCTTCCACCATCTACGACTCTTCCTGATCTGGCTCCTGACTGTTCTCATCTCTGACCCATTTCATGCCTCTGTGCCCCTCCCTTCCAATCACATTGGCTTCCTTTCAATTGCTCCAACTTGCCAAACTCCTTCCCAGGTATGGACTATATAATAAATGCAACTCTCTCCTCCACGGAATGGCTGGAAATGCAATTATACAACTGTGTGTCTTAAGATGTTAAAAATCATGTTTCAAGCTATGGGCCAGAATCACCCAGCTGGTCCTAAGAAAACCTGGACTTCTGCTCTTCTTTCATAGTTGAAGAAACATTAACTCTGACCAAAATCAAACAAATCCCAAGGACAACACAAACCCCCTTAGAAGCACCTTCCTTATAAAGCTGCACATGCAGTGAGAGCAGGAAGGACCTCCTGGAGGTAGCCACTGTAGATGGGAGTATTTATTCTGCTCAGAGCGCTGGGCTAGATTCTATATTATGTACTTAAGATATGACCTGAATATTAGACCTACCTAAAACTAAGCTTTACAACAATAGGACATAAGCAATCTCTCATCTGCTTAAAACAGGTATAAGGTGGCACAGTGCAATGGTTCATGCTATGAACTTTGGAGCATGGGGCAGGACTGGATTGGTATCCTGGTGCTGTCACTTTTGGTGGCTACATGACCGTGGCAAATTGCTCAAGTTGTCCAAGTTTCGGTTTCCTTCTGACTTTAAAAAGTTCTCGTAATAATTAAAGGAAGTACTACATGGGAATTGTTAACCAGAACTGCCAACTAAGTAAACAGTAGATGTTATGGGGGTGGAGAGTCCTGAATGGAACCCAGCCCCCATTCCAAGCTCATGCTCCCAGATGGTCCTGGTGCCTTCTGGAAGCACTGTAGGAAGAACTGAAACAGCATGAAGAAGCACTGTATTAAAGTGGGTTTTCAGCCTTGTTAAGTAAGAAGGGTCCTTTCCAAACTGATGAGATGGGAAGGATGCCATATTAGAATGAGAAGAGATGAGGGGCAGGCCTGAAAACCGGGGATCTAATAATTTACTGTGATAGATACTAAGCAGCTGAGGAAGACAAAGGGAAGATGAAGAAGGGGGTAAACCAAGTACTGAAAACTGCAAAGAACATGTAAACCTTATGCCTTCCAATTAACTCATAATTCTGATGGTTTTCACAGGATACTTTCCACATCATTCTACCTAGTTAATTTAATAAGATTTACTGAGTATCTGCAGGGAAAATGAGCAGCTCACTCTCCATCCTCAAGGAACAGCTGCCTTCACTATGGGATAGATAATAAATAACCCACTGTCCAGACATGGTAATGCTCAGTGAATATTTGTTAGATAATAAAAAGTTTATAAAAAGCAGCAAGTGTCAGAAAAACAGTATTGAGTAAACCTTGCAGAGCATAGGAGCAAGGAGTTATTGCTTTGACTGAGAGCACCATGACCAGCAGAGATAGGTTAAGATTCAGCCTAGCAAAAAAGAATGACTGGAAGACTCCTGATGACCACTTGACCATTAATGCTTCATTGTGGCCTTAGAGAAGCTCTCACATGTCAAAACATAGCATGTCAGTCCTGCTGTTGTCTACCTCAGTCCAAGGCCCTTTACTTGGGAACAAGCCTCAGAACACCAACAAAGAAAAGATGTCCTGGCTATGTTATGCTGCCTGCTGCCCACAATTACGAGCCTGGTTGTGGACCAGCTTCTTCTATGTCTCTACTG